TGAACGAAGAGAAATCCAGCGTTGGTAGAACCAGGAATAGGACCAGGAATCAGGGAGAACCAGGGCTCAGAGCCAGACCCTCTAAAAAAACCAGTCTACAAAATGTACAGGAAATTACTACAACTGTCCATTTTTTTCAGATTAACTGTACACTTGTAAACACTGAACATAAACTAAAATTGGTTTTAGCATACAAAATTTAAATTAGTTCTCCTTTTTAAAGTACAAATCATTAGATTTTCCAAAACTGAAACTTTACAATTCACCCCAAACTGGTTTTATCAACAATAGGGCAGTAACACAACAGAAATTGACTCACCGGGATAACATGTACTTTTTCAAAGTTTTCTTCTTCAGTTCCAATTCAGTTCAAATATTCACAGAACCTTTAGGATATCATTAGTTAGTTTCAGGATTTAGTTAAATTACAAAATCTACATTTATTTCAATTTTACCTCTTGTGGTCTCAGTCTATGTTTCTAAGTCTGTGCTGCTTAGCAAAATGGCCGCCAGCGGAAGCATTCCAGAAAGTTCTAAGTATTTCAGTGCACTGCCACCTAGTGGCAAAACTGGGGGTTGCAGGTTAAATTCGGTTTGAAGTTAGATTTCATGTAGGGACTTTATTGGGCAAAATTAACAGGGTTACATATTATTGAGCAAAAAGGGAACAAAGACAGAGTAATGAGCATAACATGAAGAAGAAAAACTAAAAGTTAACTAAAAAAAAGTGCAGTTTTATGCTACAAACTTATTTTGCAGGATAGTATTTCGTGTGAAAAAGTGACCTCTTGCAATAAGCCGTCAGATAAACAAAGTTTTTAAGTAATTTACCATGGTCAGAACCTTCGTCTGCTTCAGTTGCGCCATCGCTGGAATGAATCTTCAAGAATCACCTTAGTTTGGGCTTCGCTGCTTTTCCCCTTGTCTTCTTCTTTCACCTCAAAAACGGACTTTCTTTTGCGGCGAACTGCTCCTGGATTTCTTGTCGTCATTGCAACAAACTTGTGCGAACTGCGAGGAGATATAGGTCAAAAAAAGCCGCTAAGAACTGTTGCGTGTTGGTGGAGTAAAACAGCGTCTGTGCGTCTTGCGTCTGTGGACTGCGGTGACAGTCGTACGTAAACCACGTACCGGCGGCGCAGGCAAGTCAGTTACACTAGAAACGTAGGGAGTTTGATTGACAGCCTGTCAGCTCACAGATAACGAGGCAGTGTCGTTATCTATTGGCAAATGTTTAGCCCCACCCACGTCCAGAGTTGATGAATTTTTATTCTCTTTTTTTTTGGTCATCATAATTACAAGGCGACTGCATCTATAATCTATCACTGACAATTTTGAAAACAAAAAAAAACAAAAAAAAATCCTTCCATACAACCTTTAATGTGTTTGAATTTCTTGCTCAGTTTTAGTCACTTTATCTGCTAAATTTTTAAATATAAAACAAACAGTTATTTTTTTTATTGTTGCCTCATTATTATTTACCTCATCACACGCTCAACTTGATGTTAATTTATCCAATATTTTACTAAAACGTGGCCACAGCAGCTGATCCATTTTGAGCCGATCACATCTGGACCGTGTGACCTGAGCTCCAGTGTTTATCTCTTCATCAGCTCTCGTTGGTCTGCGTCGGCGCCTCCTGTGGGACTCGACTGCTTCATTATGACTCTGTGACGTTCCTCGGGCCTTGTACTCGTCGCCGCCCCCTGTGGCCATGTGCGGCGAGTTCATTTAAAGAGGATTAGAGGCTGACGGGGGCGGGAGGAGGACGGGCTGGTTCTGTGGAGACTCGCCTTTATGTCAGAAAAACAAATGTCACGACAAATCGACAGCTCATCTGCGCTCGGACTCTCCTCGTCCCTCCTCCTCTCACAGATCTTTATATTTTCTGCTTTTAAAAACTGGAAAAACAGAACTAGTCCATTTTAAAACAGTTTGCAGTTGTCCAGAGTTATTCCTGGACTTACTTCCCCAGCAGAGGCACAGATTCCCTGAGGCTTCCTCCGGTCGGGATTTCCCCAGGGAGCCGGATCCCCCCGAGCTCCTCACCCCGGACGCTTCACACTTCTGCTCCCAACATCCTAATGATTCACCGCACCGAGGGTCTGTCCACACCACAACGTCAAAACACACGACAGGTCTCCAGGAAGAACAGGTGATAGCGAAGTTCAATTAAACACAATCAATCAATGAACCTGCCCAGAGACGACAGGTGGAAATGAGCTCTGGAGCTTCAACCTGGAACAAACTCCTCTCCTGTTCAGGGTTCATGTAAAAATTGTGCACTGTCCCCGTCTCATTGAATAAATAAAAACATAAATAAAATACATCTGGGTTGAAACGGTGAAGTTTGTATTCGTTTTGGTCTTTCGTCCACACGGAGTCGGCGTTTTGTGGTGGTTTTTGAGAACAGGTTCCAGAGTGGAGAAATGTGAGAACGTTGGTGTTGTGTTGTTGTGTGGACGAGCAAACCGCAGCTTTTGGAAAAGGGTAATGTAAATGGTTAGAATGGATCTTAAACTGCAAACTATGACTTATAGATCAGCGTCCTCTATGGACCACAGGGATCGCTAACTGAACAAACAAATGATACATTACGATATTTATTTTTCTTTTCTCTGACTGTGCAGCACTCGAACTGGCCTCCACAGGCTACAAGAGCTGTTTCTGAAATGTGACAGGAGCAGCTCACGGAGTCGCTCCCTGTCGCCAACAACCGAGACACACTGTTAACACTAATAGGCAAGTTTATTTGTACAGCACAATTCGTACACAAAGTAATTCAAAGTGCTTTACAGAATAAGAAATACATTAAAATCATAATAAAAACAAATCAAAACATAAATAATCATGAAGATTAAAATAAAAAAAGAGAGACATAAATTGGAGAGAAAGAGTGCGGAATGAAAACCTTTTCAGTTATTTGCACAGTTAAACAGAAATGTTTTGAGTCTGGATTTAAACAGCGTCACAGAAGAGTCTGTCTCACATGTTCAGACTGTTCCAGGTTTTAGCTGCATGAACCTGAAACTCTGACTCCCCTTGTTTTAGTCGTGACTCTGGCACCAGCAGGAGTTGGTCCCTGAGCTCCTCAGAGTGTGAGATGTTCATATGACACTAACATGTCACAGATGGACTTTGGTGCTCGGACATGGAGACACTTGTACAAGCAGAGCTGCTTTAAAGTCTCTGAGCCACAGGAGCCAGAGCAGAGACCTGAGACCAGGACTTATGTGCTCGTACTTCCTAGTTCGAGTCAGGACCCGAGCTGCAGCGTTCTGGATGTTTCTGGATGTTCTGGATGTTCTGGATGTTCTGGATCTGGATGTTCTGGATGTTGTGGATGTTCTGATGTTCTGGATGTTCTGGATGTTCTGGATTTCTGGATGTTCTGGATGTTCTGGATGTTGTGGATGTTCTGGATGTTCTGATGTCTCTTGTGCTCTCACAGCTCGTTTGGAGAGACCAGTGAGCAGAACATTACAGTATCTAACCTACTGGAGACAAACACATGGATAAGTTTCTCCAAGTCTGATTTAGACAGTAAACCTTTGATTTTTGCTATGTTTTTTTAGATGGTAAAAAAGGCTGCAGATGTTATTGATTTGATGTGGCTGTTAAAGTTCAAGTCTGAGTCCATTATTACTCCGAGATTTCTTGCCTGATTTGAAGGTTTTAGAGAGAGAGAGACTGGAGGGTGATGCTGACACTGTCCCTTTGTTTCTGTGGACCAAACACTATGACTTCAGTCTTGTCAGGAGTTTAGCTGGAGAAAGTTGTTTTGCCTCCACACACTGAGCTGTAATACTAACAACACACACCACAGACACACACACGGATCAATAACAAAGATTAAACACGAGTCATTCAATTGTTGAATTTTCAGACCAAGTTATTCTGATAATAACTCTTCTCTCTAATTTATGTCTCTCTTTTTTATGTTAATCTTTATGATTATTTATGTTTTGATTTGTTTTTATTATGATTTTAATGTATTTCTTATTCTGTAAAGCACTTTGAATTACTTTGTGTACGAATTGTGCTGTACAAATAAACTTGTCTTGCTTTGCCTAATAATTCTCCTCCAAATCTTATGGCTAAAAAAGAAAAACTTATGTTTAACTTTTTCAAAACAAACGTCTATATTTTCTGGGACACATCTAAAATCGACTTAATGACCTTAAAATGTAATAAAACAGTGATGAGATCTGCATTATTAAATGTTATTATCATTGTTACAGCGCCACATACAGGTGCGGCACATGTATTACATCATTATTCAGTGTCCAGGTGTCGTCTGGACGTGAATATTTTATTGATCCGACACGTGTGTGGACGCAAATTTTTTTCAGCCCGTAAAAAAAAAAAATCCAGGAGTGTTGTCTTGTGGACGTAGCCTGAGTCTGGTGATTGGTACTCGGATAAATTAACTCACTTGAGTAACTATTAAAGTAATTGTAGTTTTTCAGAGTACTTTTTATAATTTAGTTTGTCTAAATTGTGTGTCTATCCTTTAAAAGACCTAATTTTGTGCATTATTTTGTGTTTTTGTGCTTCACATCACTTTCACTTCGAGTTATAAGTCAGTGAGATAGTTAGTAGATGTTATGTCCCTTTACTCTTTAGTTACTCTAGACTTTAGTGTGGCAAAAGGAGAAATTCAGTTTGTTGACTGGACAAAAATGTATTTGGTTGAATATGTTTCACAGCCCATTCAAGCTGCTTTTTTCAGTTCTCGTCAAAATGTAAATCCACACCTGACACTTCCTTATATCTGTCTGCAGGAGGAGCTAACTACAGTGAAACTACTCTGAAACTAACACGCACACACTTGTTAACAGTTTCAGTTTGTTAGTTCGGCCTGTTGAACTGCACTGAGTGTGGGTCATATTAGCAGAATCATTCCGGGCAGAAATATAAGGAAGTGTCCACCAGCGTCTGACCAGAACTGAAAGCAGCAGCTTGGATGAGCTGAGAAACGTCTTCGGCTAAATCAAGTTTGTCCAGTGACAAACGGAATTTCTCCTTTTGCCGTGGATTCTTCCTGGACGACTGAGGGATTTTACACCTGCACTTTAGTAGTACTTACAATTTTACTCTTACTTGAGTAATTTCTTGGACCACTACTTTGTGCTTCTACTTTAATAATAATATTTTCAAGTAATATTACCCTTGTACAATTTGTGATTATTTGTGACAATTTGTTCTCTGCACACCTGTGTTTGTAAGAGACACACTACATGCTGCTTCTGATTCTTGGACAATAAAACACTTCAGGATCAGGTGCAGGCAGCACACAGCAGAGTAAAGACCTAAAGAGATGCTCTCATATAATATATCTGTATCAGGTACAGACTCTTGACACA